TATATATATATATATATATATATATATATATATTCACTTATTGTTGCCACACAGCTGTCCAGCCGTCTGTCCCCCCGCGCTTAACCCTAAACTGACCCTTTTGAGGACAGTGCTCATACACCTTGTGTCTCCCTGTTTGGCTCCAAAGGATGGCCAGTTAGTCAATGACGGGTAAGATTCCTCGTGGAAGAAAACTTAAGATAGGCACAGTCTGGTGGAGGCCATTAGGAGAAATATCGGGGCTCACAGAGGTGGACATGAGCCCTCACTTGCCCCCCAAAAAGACTGGAGGTTTTCTACCTCTGTGGCTACATTCTTTCCCTCAACCTGCTTGGGAAGTGACCCGATGGTGTGTGAAGTATCTGTCCTCAGCTCAATAATCTTATCTTCCTGGGGTCGTTTGCATATAGGGTGTGTGAAGGCAGAGCATCTGGCTTATCGCCTGAGACTCTGTAATAGCAGCTTGCAGGCAGGGGTAATCTGGCTTGAGCAGGTTCTCAGGAATGAGACTCACAGACTGTGGGGAGAACAATGCTACTTCCAGGTAGGTGGGTAAATACAAGTGGTGTGTCAGCCTGATTGGGGGGGGGGGGGGCTTTTAGTCCACGAGGCTGGAGACCCTTGGCCCCACACTCATTTAACTCTTGTCTGCTGTTTCTTTTATTTCTTAACCCTTCGCCACCCCGTCTCGTTCTCCCACTGCTCATGTCATTCTCCCACTGCTCATGTCGTGCGGGGCACAACAGATATTAAGTTTAAAAAGTAATGGAAATTTATTCTGAGATACTAAGGGAGAACACAGCATTGTTTGCTCTGTTCTGCTTAAGGGATCAATGTCCCCACTGAGCTGGTCTCTTCCAGCTACAGGTTTACACTACAGAGGTAAAGTTTGTATTTCAAGCTACCATTCATTTTTCCAGAATTTAAGAAGCCTTCTCTGCAAGGTAATGGAGATTATAATTTTCAGTCTTCTGAGGAGTTACTTACTTTTTGGGATATAAGGGCATGAATACATCATCATCTAAAGTTCTTCTCATTCTCAATAAAAGTGCTTTTAGGTACACCTAAAGAGTTTAAAATAGATCATACATTTTAATAAGGGCTGTGATAAAACTAAAATTTTAAGAAATAAAAATAACCCATATTCCCAATCATATAATTACTTAAGTATTCAATTTTGAGGGAACACTTCTGAAATTTTTCACTTTCCTCATTGAAGTCCCTATAGTGTTTAATACTTACTACTCTACTCTGTTAGTTCACCCCTCAACAATTACTAAGTGGTGAAGCCATTTAGAAATCTTTCAACCCCTCAATCTGCTATGCAAAGATTTATGATCAGACACATAACCTGGTTCTTCTTAAAATGAGGTCAGTGAAAACAGAATGATAAAACAACGCCTTTCTCAAGTCAACATCATGAGTAACTCATAAGAATGTCCACTGAGAGACAACAGCAATTTGAAGTTTGGAAACTAGTTATAAAACAATACTTCACTGTTTAAATGTTTTAGCATTTAAATAATCAATTATTACCCATTCTAGTACTTTTACATGTCTCTTTTTCCTGAAAAATACAGTTCTTAAGGGGGTATTTGATTAGTCTGGAAGTTAGGGTGGGGTGGTAAAAGGGGTAAAAACAGTAAAACTGAGAGGCTATCTAGGCTAGTAATATCCTTCCATGGAAATATTTTACAACTAAAAACTATTATCTTAACCTTTTTCTATTTCAGGCTTTATATAGGACCATATGGCCCAATTTAAAGGATCAGATTTAGATCTAAGGCTGGCTTAGAATATAACCCCTCAACCTCTCAAGTCTTGCTCATTTTCGAAAGGACAGGAAGGAAAAACAAAATAACCTTTCATAGATACTTGAATTACCTGTGTATTTTTGTTTTCTGCATTCACTACTGAAGAATATCCATTTACTAATTTTAATGTAATTCCAACCATTCTTGAAGTTTGTGTTGTAGAAAAAGGGTCCCACATATTTTCAGCTATCACTATTAAGAAAAAAGTAGAATGTATTGAGATGCAGACGTAAATTAAATCAGACGTCAAGTGGTCCTCAATTTATAAATGCAAACCCTGATTTCTTTTTCCCTCTTTTGAGTATAAGCTTCAGACTCCTCTGTCTTATTAACTGCGGAGTACAGAGCATAGGCAAATGGGGAGAGAGGGACAGATTCCTCTTATTTTCTGTTAATCAGTGAAAATAAAGACTGGAGGTGGTAAAGATTTCAATATCCTAGGAGATATTGTCCCAGCACCAAGAATTTCTAACGAAACTTGAAACATTTTTAATATTTTAAATAGGTTCCTGGATCAATGATTCCTAATCTTTTATGAGAAATTGATGTAAGTAATGAAATTGCTCCCAGAAAAATGCGCATCCCTCAAAAAACTATGCAGTATTCAGTTTTGCTTCAGGCCGTCTTTAGGGGTCTCTAACATTCACCAATAGATCAATTACTGCTCCCAACTTCAGGCCCACCCCAAGGTGGTCTTCAAGTCCCCGGTTAAGACACATCTAGTCTTTAGCCATCTTTGGGCCTGATGGTAACTTTATCATTTATAATGTAATTTCTATGAGGAAATATGCTCCGATTAAAAATTCTTAAAAATAGACTTGAGAAACCCACTGTGTTTGAATGTTCAATTCAGAATCTCTAACCTGTTAGTTTAGGAAGAATCACCTTTTCCACAATGGTTGGTAATAGTGCAATGTCCACATCATCTTTTTCTTGCTCTCGTTCTTCACAACCATAAAACAGCAAAGATTCAAACCACAGCATATTCTCAAAGTCACGGCATTTTGCCTAGAAAATATTAAAAAGGTTACTCAAACACATTTAAGGGGCAGCTGGTTAGCTTCATTGGGGGCAGCCGGTTAGCTCCGTTGGTTAGAGTGCAGAGCTCATAACACCAAGGTTGCCGGTTCGATCCCCACATGGGCCAGAGCCGCACCCTCCACAACTAGACTGAAACAACTACTTGACTTGGAGCTGATGGGTCCTGGAAAAAAACAGTTCCCCAATAAAAAATAAAATAAAATAAAATAGTGGCTACAGCAGCTTCTAGTCATAAGAGTATTTAGCTATAAACAAAAACTGGACAAAATATATGAAGCATCTGATTTCAGACAATGGACTAGGCAGTACAGGACAATGAGCCCTGAAAGGAGGGAATCAATGAGGTGAACTGCTGACCAGGAGAGCTGGGGGGGTACACACACAGAGCACAGGCTTGCTGAAGGGAGGACATGCAAAGTGGACTTCAGGGAGGCTGAGATAGCCCGAAGCTGTGGGGCAGAGGAGGCAGCGACACAGATAAAGAGCCCCAAAATGCACAAAAGACCCTTGAGCCTTTTTGTATACTAATATACACACACACAGGGTGAAACTCCACAAGGTCTGGCAGAGCAGCAGGGAGCTGTGAGCTGAATGGTTCCTAGAGCTCACGTTCTTCTTTAATCTTTAATCGTTCTTCTTTAATTGTTTACAGGGCTTAAACTTCAACCCTCTTTTATTTTATTTATTTATTTATTTTTAAAGATTTTTATTGGGAAATTGGGGGGATGGGAACAGCGCTGGGGAATTGGGGGAAGGGGAACAGACAAGTTGCTGTCGTTTTGTTCTTCAATCTAGTTGTGGAGGACGTTGCTTC